GAAGGACCATTTTGTATCTGTATAAGCAGAATAGTTAGTATAGATATACAGCTACTCTCGCTTAATTCAATGAGAAGAAAGATTTGTACTAATAGTGTTTGGACAGGGTATCCTGTCTGCATCTTCTACTACGGATAACCACTAAGAAGATAACAATGTACAGTGTATTAATTATTAAAACTGTCCCATTAATCAGTTTTGAATTTGTCTTATTGCTGTTTCTCAAAATTTTTTTAAAAAGGGTAGCAGTCAAAAAAAATAATAAAATATTTTTAGGAACAATAACATTGGAGGGCTTCAAACTTACCCAGCTGCAAAACCGTGTGCTACTGGCATAGAGAGACCAGCATAGCAGAGATCTCTCAAATAAACTTTCACATATAGTGGAGCTATGACTTCAGTGTCTCCTCAAAACACTTACATGGAAACTCTAACCCCCAAGGAGACAGTACAAGGAGTGGGCTCTTGAGATATATTCAGTCAAGCGGAGGGCTTGTAGGGGCTTCACTGAAAGATGTCTCGAGAGTGGGGATGTAGGACAGCAGCAGAATCCCTGCCACGCACTGCACATTCAGCCCCCATTGCAACCCACATGGACTAAAACATTTAGCATGGTAAGATTCAAAGTTAGTCACAAAAAGACAGGCTGGTAAAAGCCACAGAAAATTGTTTTAAAAAACAGCAACTGCTAAGAGCCTGGGAAAGCAACAAATGGGCCGTTCTTTACTGAGTATAAAGTTCAGTTTTACAGAAGAAGTCTCCAGAGTGGTTGGTATAACTATGTAAATATACTTATCATTAAAAAGAATACACACCTTGTAAGTCATCTTGTGCTAATAGACAAAATATACAAGGTTAATATTTGAGATAAACAAATCCATTTATTACTATAACTTTAAAATTCTCACCTGATTTTTGTGTGTTAGTTCATTAAGTGAGCTTTTAAGCTTCTGTACTTCCTGCACATACACAGCAACTTCCTGAGGGCCTTTGGCAAGTTCACTCCTTAGCTGGTTTATTGTGGCCTTTAAAAAAAAAAGAAGAAGAAGAAAACTTAGGGCAAACTAAAAGGAAACAGAAGTAACAAAAACTTAAAAGATCATATAATTTTTTGCTGGTGTTGTAGTCACATTGAAATAATATTTGGAACCTTAAACTTCAATTGTTTTATCCTACCACTCACTGAAATATCACACCCTTGTCTTTAGCTTAAAATCAATTTTTTAAATTTATCTAAAATATAGATTGTACTTATTTAATAGCACATGAAACAGCATCTTATTTTATCTGCCTGAACAAACATCAAACTGCAAACTTCAATTTATTGGTTTAGAAACTCAAGACATAAGCCTTCCTGATGAAACACAGTAAGCTAGTAATGGCTGCACTCTTTCTCAGTTTCTATTGCATGAACTTTTCCTTCTAATGCATGTATATGCAAACATGCGATACAATTTTATCGGGGTGAGTCACCTTCCTGAATGCAATGAAAATGTATTTGTCTATGGATGCTACCAAACTATACACTTTCAGTAAGCTAGAACACTCCATGGCAAGGTACAGTAGCTGGCCACGAATTTGCTTTAGGTTTTATTCCTTTTTGTTGTAGGTGAAAATTAATATTTATTATTAAAACAATTAGCTGAACATTAGAAAGTATGACAAACACCAACTTCTATACTATACATAAAAGCTCAACTACTAGAAAGACTAAGTAATGCCTTTTAGGTATGATTTCCTGAAAATGACACTAATAAAAAAATTTCTAAGACTGCTTGCAAGCTTTACTTTTCACATTCTTGAAGTTAATTATTTGCATTGCCTATAGTCTTCATTTCTTCGTAAAGCTCACAATATGGACAGGAAATAATTTCTTTCTTTCTTTTTTTAATAATTTATTTCTTAATAAGCATATCGATAGATACATATGTTATAAATAAAGTGTTTCATCTTCAAAGAAGAAACATTAGAAAGCAACTAGCTTACTGTAACAATAATCCCATTATTCAACAGATCTTTACTGCTTCTCTTCTGGAAACACTCCTGAGAATATGAATAGCTTTTTTTTAAGTTGTATCTTCATCCATTGATAATAGATTTGGTTTTAAATTTTAGAAACCATGTAATAAACAAGGTAAATGAATGATATGAATGAACAAATAATCTGGCTTATTTTAAAAACCAAAATTAATGAAGAAAATTTTTTTGTGTTTTCCAAACTGATTTAAAGTCAATTAAAATAAATTTCAAAAATGTCTTTAAATGTAACATATCTGACAGGCACATGGCCTGATCTTCTAAGGAAGCATTCATTTAAATGTATTGATTCGGGTACTATGAAATGCCATTCTAGAACTATTAAAGGTATTCTATCAAATAGTTCTATAGTTACATATTATACACCCTGTTTTAATATTATATATACTTAAATAAGCATATGAAAATATCCACATAATATTTAAAAATATATAAATGTATACAGTGTCCACTGCACTGGCCCTGGGGTCCGTCAGGCGACTGGCGGAGCATATTTCAGAATGAATCCGAGTGGGTCGGGTGTGACCTTCAGGGCCCTGCCTGGCTTTCCACCTTTCTCCCTGTAGCATGTTCTCGCACTCAGCTTGCAGGCCGCCAGGGATGAAGCCCCTTTGCTTCACATGCCCTTCTGCCAGGACATTTCTGCCTCAGAATCTGCTGGCCATGGCCTCAACTTCCAGACACTACACGTCCAATTTTCAGTTTGGGTAAAACTCAAAAGAAAGAAAAGAAAGATCCCCACTACTGTCACACTGACTCCCTGCCACTTAGCTGCCCAGTCATCTGTACTTTGGACTTCAGCATTCACTGAACTTCTTTCCAAGGATCCTCACTCCCAATCCTTCACTCAAATCTTCACTTATTTCATTCTCCCTCTTCATATCTTGCTTGATCTTTTCCCTGACCATCTATCTAAAACTCCCCACTACTCCCTACTCCACTACAACCTACCATACTTTTTTTCTTCACAGCACTTACTGCTTGACTTTGTAACATGATTGGTTTGCTTATATACTGTTACTTACTCAGGAATATTTATCTTATGAAAACAGGCACTATCTTATTTAGTATTGTATTTCCCACACCTAAAATGGTTCCAGCCTCTTAGTGTGCACTCAAAAAATACCTTCTAAAGGAATATGCAACAATACTCCCAAAGACTAACCCATATTTATTCTTAGAGTAAGAGAATACTATTACTAAATATTAGACACTATAGTTTGCATTTCCCTGATGTCAAGCTACTGAATGAATTTTTACTAAAACTTTGAGATTAAAAAATAATTAAGAAACGGTATTTTAAGACTAACATTCTGCTGGTGCTTTAGAATCATAGTCATTGTTTTAATATCTAGGAAACAATCATTTAAAAGTGATTGAAATTTTTTCATTAACAAAATAAAAATGAGCATGTCTGAAGCTCTGAATTTGCACTAAAACACAAATTTGCTAAATGACAAGAAAAGGTGGTTTACTAAGGATAATAATAGTGTAAAGTCTTCCAAATACACATTACCTCAAATTTTAGCATCTCCATGAGAAAGCAGAAAAAAAATGAAATGATGGATGAAAGGTGGAAGACAAGACTGACAAAAGTACACATTGAGCACACAATAAAATATACAGACAGACAGACAAATTTAAACTCTTAATTACCATATTTTTAATATACTGACATATTATTTAATACCTTTCTATAAGCATAATCATACTTATTCCATGCCTACTTAAAAAAATTTGATATTAAAACTAGGATTCAAATGTGTTTACTTGGAATACAAATAAAATTCCACAAAATTCACCTTCTTTAAAGACCACACCAAAGATAAATTGATTACAGTTTTGATATTTTCAATGATGCAGATTTTCAGAAATAAAATTTTAACATTAAAATCCTCAACTGCCAACATATAAGACAATTTATTAAGTACTTTTATGATGAAAAAAATATGTTCAGAAATATATAGACCAAAAGTCAATGAATTCACAAGTACACATCCTGTGAAAGTAATAAACATAAAGGCATATGCAATAATGTACATCACATTACACAGCTTCAGCCCCAACTATAAAGGGAACCCAATAAACCTGCTCATCTTTGGGATTTTTTTGGTTTTTTGTTTTGTTTTGTTTTTTTGCAGAACCGGGGATTGAACTCAGCCCCAAGCGCTTATTCTACTGAGCCATCTCCCCGGCCCCTAATCTGCTCATCTTTGGCTCCCTTAATCCCTTTTAGTGTGTTTTACTTCTGATGCCCATATTTAGATTTAATAAAAGGAGCATCTATAATCAAATTTTTTCTAGTAGGCTAAGTGGGAAATTTACTAACACACTTAGCTGACAATAAATAGAAGTAAAATTTGATCACTCTGCCTCTTCCTGAGAGCGGCCTGAGGTGACCTGTGAAAATGGTTCACTACTCTCTTGACACAGAAAACCCCCCAAAATCAAGCATATGAAGAGGCTCAAATCTTCATTTTCACTTTAACAACGAGTGTGAAACTGTCCAGGCCATCAAGGGTATGCATATCTGAAAGGCCACCAAGTACCTGAAGGATGTCACATTAAAGAAGCAATGTGTTTCATTCTGGCGTTACAATGGTGGAGTTGGTAGGTGTGCCCAGGCCAAACAGTGGGGCTGGATGCAGGGTCGGTGGCCCAGAAAGAGTGCTTAATTTTTGCTGCATATGCTTAAAAATGCAGAGAGCAACGCTGAGCTTAAGGGTTTAGATGTAGATTCTCTGGTTATTGAACATATGCAGGTGAACAATGCACCCAAGATGCGCCGCCGTACTTAGAGAGCTCATGGCCAGATTAACCCATATGTGAGCTCCCCCTGCCATACTGAGAGGATCCTTACGGAAAAAGAACAAATTGTTTCTAAACCAGAAGAGGAAGTTGCATAGAAAAAAAAGATATCCCAGAAGAAACTAAAGAAACAAAAACTTTACGGCATGGAATAAATTAAGCATAAAATAAATGCAAATAAAAAAACAAGTAAAATTCAATAAATTAATAAAATCTACAACATTCAGGGCAAGTAGGAGGTGGCAAGCAAGTGGAGTTATGAACAAGCAAATGAGATGAAGCAATTAGTTTTTTTCATATGGGAATGGAGTAAGATACAATTCAAAAAATATTCCAAACTATTATATAAATACTACAACTTAGCAAAATAAAAAATAGTATTTGGACAAGAATAACAGTACAAATTTACTTATAAGGCAGTCACCAGACTACCTAAAGTAAAAGACAACACACTGCAGAGAAAGGAGTAATGGCTTTGTATAAGACCTGGGTTCAAACACTAGCTTCTTTAAAAAAAAAAAAAAATCAACTTCTTAAAAAAAAAGGGGGGGGGGAGGGCTGGCCAGATAGCTCAGTGGATTAAAGCACCTGTTTACACAGATGCAGGGACCAGGGTGCCGTGCTAGCCCCACCCCAGGGCACGCTGAGATGGCAACTGAGACTGGACATGGTGGCACACACCTGTAATCCCCGCACTTGGGAGGCTGAAAACAGGAGAATCATTATGAGTCCCATCTGTGTAATGAGACCCTGTCCTAAATACGTTAAAAAAAAAAAAATAGTTTCTTTATGATAACCTTGAACAAGTTACTTAACCTTACCAGGCCTAAGATCTCTGATATGTAAAAGAGATAATATTTAACTTACAAGATATATAAAAAAATTAAAACCACATATCTAAAGTGCCTAGCATTGTATCCCTAGTGTTTCCCCAAAGAAGTCTTTACTAGTAGTATTATTCTGACTCTTATGCTGCTGCTTCTTAAAATTACTGAAAATATTTCAGAATCACCTGATCACTATATCCCTATTAAGTAGGGAATAAATGCCTTTATCTCATTAAAAATATAGTGAAATATTAAATTACCTATTCAATTAATAACAAACTCTTAAGTTTATTTTAAAATACTTGAGAATTTTTTATGATAACTTCAGTGATACTGACATGTAAAAAAAATAATTTTTAAGCTAAATAATTTTCTCTCTTTCTCAGAAACAGCTTTCCTGGGGGGGAAATAATTATCCTATAGTTAGCCTTCTTTATAGGGGGATAATGGAAGAAGATATTGAATTCTTTTACCCCCAATATTTTATAACCCTAGTCAAACTTTTTCACCTTAAATAATCTTTTACATTACATTACATATAATGTAATCTACATGAATAAAATTACAAATTTATAAAAACCTTCTAAATTAAACTGGTAATTTTTGTTATTTTTCTTTTAGAGAGAGTCTCCCTCTGTAACTCCGGCTGGCCTTGAGCTCAGCGACCCTGCTGGCTCAGCCGTGAGACTGCAGCGTTACAAGGCGCACCACCATGCCCCCCTTGAAACTATGGTAACTGAAATGCAACACAAAATTGTCTTCTCTTTACCAACTCTTACTGCAATCCTGCATATATTTCTTACATGCAAGTTAGTATGTAAGTTCCTATTCCTGCTTAACATGCTTAACATGTGTAGCTCTATGATTCTCATCTGAGAAAGGTCAGAAAAGACTACGCTTTAAAACAGCAGCTTCCCTCTAGCCAGGCCTGGAGGCACAGGCCTGCGACCACAGTTCTCTGGGCGCTGAGGCAAGAGGGTGGGAAAGCCCAGGGCTGCAAAGAATAGGCTGCAAAAGGCCCTGAGATGATTTTTGTAAAACTGCCAGTATTCTGATTTAATTTCAGTCACCATACTATGTTTATTTTTAATTTCAAATGACATTTGAAGGAACTTTTAAAAGCAAAAGGGGGTGTAATATTTTTATATATTTAAGAAATACCAGTAGGCTCACAGATCTAATCGATAGCAGTTCTCACTAACTATACTGGGCTTCCCCATCTCTCTCATAACTAGTACAAGAACTGGGTTCGTCCGGATTAAACGCCATCTCATGAGGACTCTCAGCTTTGACGCAGACCTTCTTAATTGTATGTCCATAGCTACAGGTTAGCTAGTGACACCACTAGAACAAGTGCTTTCACAGTGACCAGTTCTTGGACCCCTTAAAATGGTGTGAAAACCTGCAGAACCACATGCCACTGGGCTACGAAGTGTCTCTTTGGGGAAATCTGCACCTACGCCTGGACGTCAGAGTCCAGTTCCACAAGGCTGCTCATCCCTACCACGTGAGACCCAAACACTTGCCCCACTTCCCCACAGTATGGGACGCAGCAGCGCAGGCCTGCGGCCCAGCCCACCCTGCCAGTGAGACCCTGCCAAAAGGAATAAGAGAAAGGAAAATAAAGTAAAAACTGCCTAGGGGCGGGGGTGCACGCCTCTAATCCTGGCACTCTGGGATGCTGAGGCAGGAGGATCACTGGTTAGAGCACAACTTGGGAAATTTTGCAAAACTCTACTTCAAAAGTAAAAAATAAAAGGCTGAAAAGGTAGCACAGCAAGAAGGCCTGGTTTCAATCCCCAGTAACCCCCAAAAGATGTGCTACTTATAGTATTTTTATAAAGATTTTGCCCATTTGTTACTATTCATAACTAGCCTCGCTTTTATATCATCAGATAAAATTTTTTTAAATCAGAAAAGCAAATTGAACGGTCACAAAATATGAAAAACAGAGATGCACCCCACATAAGAGAGCTAAGGAGTCCACACAGCAGCAGCCATAACGAAAAATATTCTGTAACGCAATGAGAAAAGACAGATGCTAGCATTTTTTTTTTTTTTTTTTGGTGGAACCGGGGATTGAACTCAGGCCCTTGCACTTGTCAGGGAAGCACTTATTCCACTGAGCTATCTCCCTGGCCCCCAGATGCTAGCATTTTAAGAAACACATATATTATGTATTTTAAACCTTGGCATACGTTGACATAATCATACATACAAGGAATTAACAGGCTGAAGGAATATACCTGAGAACATCTATTCTTTAAGAAAAACACGTATAGTCATCAAATATCTCAGGTGGAAAGCCTAGAAATTTATTCTATGTAAATGTTAAGAAGAAAACTAGCAGGCATGTGATTTACAGGGAAACAAATGTTAATTCAATAGATTAATTGACTCAGGAAGAAATATGCACTATCTATACTCACAAGCACGAATTGTGGACTGTGTCCAGGTTGCTATAAAGGGCAGGCTCAGATGCACAGGGCCAGGCTAGATCATTTTAATACTACTTTCAACTATGTAATTCAGTGTCTATCAATTAGAAAAAAGCTTATTAGAAAACAAATTATTTCCTAAATATTTTTCCTAAACAACACTAGTAACACTGTAGAATACCATTCTTCCTTTACTCCTACCTGAGATACCTCAATAACCATTATCGACCTGAGTAAATTTAACTTTAAATATCACTTCTCCACACTGAATGCCAAAGCTCAAGGCCAGTCTGGACTGACATAGTGAGTCCAAGGCTGGACTGAACTGCACCGTGCGACCCTGTCTCAAAAAAGTATACAACATAATGACTACCTATGATTATTCAGATTAAACAAAACAAAGCAAGGGAGAAAAGGAAGTAAAAAGGATAAGGATCCAATGGATACACGTATCACCTCCCATGACCAATGCATTCATGATATATTAGAAACATGCACTAACAAAAAAATAAGCCATTAGGATCATTTTCAAATTTTGACTTTACTCAATAATATGATACTCTCCACCACAGTGTATTACCTCTGAGTTGGCATGTTCGGCTTGTAGCTTCTTGCACTCATCTTTGAGTTTCTCAGATTCTCTCTCACGCTCCAAGGTCATATTATCCATCAGTGTTTGAACCTGGACCAGTTCTTTCTTTAGCACAGCAACATCTTCTATACCAGGCCTCTGAAGCTGGGAAGCCAACATTTCAATTAAACATTCCATTGAAAAACTGAACGGAGGGTGGGGCGGCAGGGACAGAGGAAGCAAGCATCAGGACTGCGGCAGGCTGCGCACACTTGGCCCATGGATTCATACATTCACCGAGTGCACAGTAAGGGAGAGACACTCGGGGACAGAGGACAGCTGTGCAAGCCTGAGAGAGAAGTGAAGCAGGACAACAATGACAGAAATGTAAAAGAGAAATCCAACTGGAGGCAGGCAGATTCATAAAACGGAAGTACAAGGAAGGTCAGGATCACAGGATATACGGAAAATATTTTAAAAAGACATTTAGACAGAAACAACAAAATTGCTTAGGCGCTGTTATGGGCCACGGTCCATTTTTAGAAAAGTTCACCTTGTATATGTAGGTAACACAGAATAGGGGATTTTTTATTTCCTCCTGTTTACTCTTTTTTAAAATTTATTCAAGGTATGTACTTTCTCTTAATTTAGAATAGTATAAAAGTAATTCTAGTAAATGGTTCCTAAATTACCAGTTCAGTCTTCAGATCTTGAATTACAGTTGCTCCTCTGTTTAATTCATCTGTCAACTGTGTCACCTTTTGTTCAGCGGTTTCCCGTAGACTCCTTTCTTCATCATATTTTGACTTGACATCTAATTAAAGATAGAAATATAAATACTTGCTTCATGACATTAACTTTAAGGGAAAAAAATTTATAAATTCTTGTATATTATTCTGGGTATCTATATTTCACTATAATTCTAATTCACATACCTCAACTATAAATATACACAATAAAATTATACTTCTGATTATATTAGATAAACATTTTTATCTACATAAATTCTACTCACTAAAACAGAGAGTGAAGGGAAGAAAATGGGAAAGGAAGGAAAATAAAAAGAATTAAGATGTGTTACATACATTTACCAACTCCCCGTGAGGAATGTAATCATTACATATTACAAACATATGAATACAAATTTTAAAAATTAAAATAAATTCCACCAGGGCTGGAGAGATGGCTCAGTGGTCGAAAGCATCTACTTGGAACAAGCTTAGCAAAAGCATCAGGGACCGCGGTTCAATCCCCCAGCACCACATGCCAGCCAGCCCGCCCCCTGGTGGGCTGAGCTGGCCTCTCTCTCTCTCTCTCTCTCTCTCTCTCTCTCTCTCTCTCTCTCTCTCTCTCAAATAAATAAATAAATAAAATTTAAATAAATAAATAAATAAATAAAAATAAAAAATAAATTCCACCAAACACTAAGTTACTAATTAAAACTTCAATTTAAAATTGTTCAATATTTTACCTAAAAGAACATAGTTCTGAGAATACAACATGAGGTCAGGCGTGGCAGTGCCCGCCTGTGACCCTGCACTCAGGAGGCTGAGGAAGGGTGACTACTGCCAATCTGAGGCCAGCCTGGCTAACAGTGAGCTCAAGGCCACATCTCAAAAAGCAAAAAGCAAACAAATAACAAAACAACCAGTATGCATAACTGAAACCATAACCAAATGTTAAAGCTCTACTATATTATATGATTTTTTTTTTTTTTTTTTTTTTTTGCGGAACTGGGGATTGAACTCTGGCCCTTGAGCTTGCCAGGCAAGCAGTTATTCTACTGAGCCATCTCCCCAGCTCATAAAATGTTATTTTTTAATCCTTAAACATGTCACAAAAGAAAGTTCATGCTCTTTATATTTTAAGAATCTATAGAGAAAAAACAATGTTTTGAAAAAAAGTAAAAGGACAAAAATATAATTTACAAAGCTTTTAAATCACTAAATTCCCTTAATCACTGCCATAGTCAACAATAAATGTTTTATTACACTAGAATACTGGGGGTTTTCCCCTCAAGGATACATAGTGATGAAAAGGTAACAAGATTGATTTACTGGCCAAAAATTCTGATTCGATTTACCTGCAATTTCAGTAGCAAGTTGGGCAGCTTTCTGTTCAAATAAATCTTTCATTTGCTTAATATTAAAATTTTCTGTCTGGGCTTCCTCTAACTGTTGTTCCAAAGACTGGAGTTCTACACAAAAGGTACAGCAGTTATTGTAGCACCATGTCAATTACATACACTCAATTATTATGACTTACACTCCCTACAGCAGTGAAGACAATCAACACGCACCCATTACCCAACTATAAATACAGAACTTCCACATTTCAAGAATTCAGCATATCTCGGCAGGCATGGTGGCACACATGTACGATTCTAGCGCTCAGGAGTCTGAGGCAGGAGGATCACTGCAAGCTCAGGGTCAGCCTAGGCTACACAGTGAACTCAAGGCCAGCCTGAACTCACAGCAAGCCCCTATCTCAAAAAAAAGCATATCTCATTCATTGAAGGTACAAATCATGACTTATAAATGTAAATGAACACTTTGAATCACCTCCAAATGAAGTATAACTATTTTAAAACATATCCTGACTTCATATTTCACAGTTATTTTCCTATATCCATCAAATAACCAAAAATAAATATATTATGCTCCCCCATTATTCTCTTTTTAAAAAGAGATTTCTTAGCCAGGAGTGGTGGTGCATGCCTATAACTGCAACACTCAGCAGGCTTGAGGCAGAAGGATCACTGAAAGTTCAAAGCCGCAAGTTCAGGGCCAGCCTGCACTACAAAACAAAATCCTGTCTCAAATGAATGAATGAATGAATGAATGAATGAATGAATGAATGAGATTTCTTGGGGCTGGGGCGCCTGCCTAAGAAGTGTAAGGTCCTGAGTTAAACTCTTGGTAAAAAAAAAAAAAAAACACCATTAAAAAATTTCTTAAAAGTAACAGCTAATCTCAAAATATAATTTTGATTATTCACTGGGCTTTTCTTCACTTTAATGGTTATGTGGATGTCAGTAAATTCCATCAATTTACTTCAAAGAACAAACACTATATAATTCTTTAACACAATTACATTTTCATTAATCAGTCATTGATACACAGCAGTCCCTCACTATTTTGTGGTTTGACTTTTGCAGACTGTTTTGTGGGTTTTTAAAAAATATTAATCTAAATTATTTATTCTGGATTTTTCACTACATTGTGGGATTTTGCAGTACCATACAGTACACATATGGCATTAAAATTACATAGGTTTACAAGTTTAGAAAATGGTTAACATTAGAAGTGTTTTCAAAAGTGTGGAAAAGGCTTATAAGAGAGTGGGAAGAGTTTATAAGGCCTTAAAATATATATAAATACTAAAATAAATACACCATTGCTACTCCTTGATTTTCACTTATCCCTGGGGCATCTGGAACGTAACCTCCACAATAAGTGCAATATTCCAGAAGTTAGTTTCTAACTTCAGAATACAAGGAACTAAAAAAACTCAAGATGTTAGTTAGCTGATGGAATTTTGAAGTGCAGAGGCAATTTTCCAAGCCTAGAATATGACAATTATCATTACTGCTTTAGAGTCATAAAGTAAAACTACAAACAAAATTCCTTTGGCAGTTATCAAAAAATAATAATAATAATAAGATCAGAAGAGAAAAAGAAAAAAGAACCTGTTTTAGGTTACCTGCTGAATCAGCCACCAAACCATCAGGCTTAGCCTCCTAACAAAGACAAAAGACACAAATAAACATTAAAGGAAGACTCAAGGCCATACAGTTGCCAATGTTAAAACTGTCTAAAAGTCAGGCGCTAAAAATCCAGGCTTTGAAAATGCCAGATCAAGTAGCAGAAATTTTGGTGGAAATTAAAGTCTGGCAGCTGTTCTTCCAGACCCTAGTGTGTCACTAGGCAGGACAATGATTTGAATGCAGCTCACCAGTTGGTCCTAAAGCAGAATCTTTTATACAGTAATGTACATAAAGCTATTATCATGGGTCTCATAGAAGATAGCATCCTAAATCTGCTAAGTCCTGTAACAAATAACAGAATACCCCTCCCCTTAAGACAGTGACATCAGCCCGTATCGCCCCCATATGTGAGCTACGGATCACACCTAATGGACTCCCAGCTGAGTGTGACGGCCGCTGGGACCTGAGCCATGACAGGCAGCTTCTGTCTGCTCACTGCTTCTGGGAGACTCACGACGCAAGCTGCAACAAGGCCAAACCCTGCTGGCCTTTAAACTCTCGGGTCAGACCCACCAGAGCCTTCACATCTTCTGGGACAAGGGTCCCTAGTGTCACAGCTTTCCAGAGCTGGAAAGTGTCATTCCTAGCAAACTGCTCATAAAGGTTCACCTCCTTTAGACTTCACTTTCTGCCCCAGAGCCTGCTGCCTGCACAAGTGAGCAATCAAACTTGAATGGTTCCCGAGCTGACTCACTGTGGTTACTGGAACTCACGTGGTGACTGTGTTCCCCGTGAGGCCTATTCACCTTACCCTCACAGATTTGTACTCCCTGGCACTGTGAAGCTAAGAAAAATTTCTTTGTGCAGCAATAAACCATCTAATTTGTGAAATCAGACCTTAGTCATCCCATTACTATAACTGTACAAAGCACCTACAATATTGAAAATTAGCAGCAGCAAAAATATTCCATTGGACTATTTCCACATCAGAAGAAAAAGAAAAAAAAGCCACAGGAACTGGAGGTGTCACTTGGGGGCTCAGCATTTGCCTAACATAGAAAGCCCCAGCAGTGTGCTTGCTATGATCTAGGTTTACAGGAGTCAAAAAAAAATTAAAAGGCTGAGGGAGGAGGATCACAGTGAGTTTGAGGCTAGCCTTGGCTACATAGCGAGTTCAAGGACAGCCTGAACTACACAACAAGACCCTGTCTCAAAATGAATTAATAAATACATAAATACATACAGGCAGACATTCCAGTGTATGCCTATAATTTCAGCATTTGGAAAGCTCAAGCAGGAGGATACAAGCAAGTTTGAGGCCAGCCTGGGCTACATAGTGAGATTCTGTCTCAAAAAAACAAAACAAAGTATAACACATCAAAAGATTAAAAGGTTAAAAGAGAAAATAGTTACAGTAGCTCACTGATTAACCCAGAGGAGCTTCCAATACTGTGCACTCCGCACATGGCAGCACCCTCTGTGCATGCACTACTGTTTATCTCTCATGTCACACTTTTACTGTACCCTGTCTATGTTCAGATATACAGATACCACGACATTACAACTCCCTACAGTTCCCAGTAGCGTGACCTGATGTACAGGTGTGCGCCCTCAGAGTAACAGGCCACAGCATGAAGCCTGGCCGGGTAGGACGCTGTGCCACCTAGGTTTATGGAACTACAATTTCTAATACTTGCACAGTCATGAAACCCCTAGCAACAGACCTCTCAGGACACACTCCCACACTGAAAGATCCCGGACTGGTTGTGTGTGAGAGCAGGTGTGTACCACACACATTTTTGTTCCACTTTTTCAAAATCTAACACTGTCAACAGAAGTTTTCCATGTTTTCAGGTATTCTTTGTTATATAAACAGTTAACATTTCTTTACCTACAATATACATTATAGTTATTTCCAATTCACAAATGTTTGGAAGATTCACTATTACTTGAATCTATATGATCAACCACTTCCGTATACTGTCAGAAAAATAGCATAATTCTGCATTTAAAAAAATAGGTAAATGATTACTGGAATACCTTTAAGCAGTTATAGTTCCTTTCCAGTGTAACTGTTTCCATTCATTAAAATTATAAACAATTCACAGGGAAACATCAGGAAGTTATGTATATTAGGCTAGTCACTTACAAATGGTATTATACTTAATTTTCCACAATAAAAATAAAAAACTAATAAACATGCTTTAAGTATGTAAAAAGCGATTACTTGTTGCTGCAGCCCTTGATACTTTTCTAATTCTTTCTTTAATTCTTCTGAGTACCATTTTTCTTCCTAATGAAAAAAGTTTTAATTACTAAATTGTAAAAGACATTTTATAGGAAGCACTGAAGACAAATAAGTACAATCACTTTTGTTCTTACCTTAAGTGAAGCCTGTAGGTCTTGGACTTCTTGCCGGAGTAATGTTATATCATCTCTAAACGTGTATGGGGGAAGAAGGAGTAATAGTTAATGCCCCTTAATTTTCAACTGGGTCTCTTAATCAATAATAAGTATAAAGTTTTCTCATTTCTTATAAAAGTATTTCTAAAAGACACACACACCTTAAAAATAATTCTTTCACTAAAACTCATGGTTTACAAATAACCATTTTCTCATGCAAATAATCAAATAAATGACTGTCAAGTACCTGAAGAGAAGCAAAATGTCTCTACTAACTTACCAACAGTAAGTATCAATGGCTTCCTGCTATGGTTCGCATCAAATCTAAACTCATCACCAAAGCCTCCTAACTCCTATACTTTCTATCTCGCTCCTGTCTTACAACTCTCTCTCATTCACACAGTTCTAGCAATACCGGCTTGTTCTGAATATGACATGCTCTGTCCTGATTGAGAGACTTCTATTCTTTCCTCTTATTGAAGACTGAGAGGGGAAAAAAAAAAAAAAAAAGGTGAAGTAGACCATGCTAGCAAGGCCTGAATGCAGGAGAGAAGCTGCAGGAAACCCACATTCAGGATTCTCACTCTGGATGTCTTCTCCTGCTGGACTGTGAACAGCAGAAACACCTCCCCTTGCTCCACGTCACTCCTGGTGATAGGTAAGATATAAGACACAGAACTGAGGGGGCGTGGAGGTGCACACCTGCAATCCCAATACCAAGGAAGCCAAGGCAGAAGAAACACAAGTTCTGGGCTAGACTCGGGCAATTTAGGGAGACACTGTCTCAAAAAGCAAAATTAAAATATGAGGGGTATGTGTAGCTCTGTGGCAGAGCGCCTGCTCAGGCACACACAAAGTACTGGGTTCAATCCCCAACCATGAGAAAAAGGAAAAATATATAGTTCTATGTTATCTATCAACACAAAGTTAATAAAGGAATAATACTTTTAGGGTTTTTTTATTTTACAGCAGATATATCAACCAACAATTTCTTTTATTTAAAAAAAAAGCATGAAAAAAACTTTTCAAGTAGAGCAAAATATTTATTTCTTAGTGGCAGTGAAAAAGTAATGTTCTCAACAATAGCAGAAGAAAAACTGGGGCCAGGGAGATGGCTCAGTAGAATAAGCGCTTGCCTGGCAAGCACAAGGGCCTGAGTTTAATCACTTGTTCTGTGGGAAAAAAAAAAAAAAAGCTTTAAAAAAAAATAAAATAAAAAAGAAGAAAAAGTTACATTATTGAAATCTGCTCTAAATAGTTGGTTATGTTAGCTTAATTATAGTTTTAAAAGTGGTCAAAGCTAGGCGTGGTAGTACACACCTAGGTGTGGTGGTACACACCTGTACTCTCAGCACTCTGGAGGCTGAGGCAAGTTCAAGGGTAGCCAGGGCTACACAGTGAGTTCAAGTCCAGTTTGAATTACAGAGCAAGACTGTCTCAATCAGTCAGTTAAGCAATGCAGTCAAACTTAATTCCCAAGAAGCACAATGTATGGTAACTATAAATTTTTAAATTTAAATTAAATTTTAATTCTTGACTAAACTTATTATTTTAACAACTTACTACAAAAAGCATTAATTTAAAACAGCCTAGGTGCCCTGTTGAAGGTGAAGGTGAGACAGCTGCTGGTCACAGACTGATAATGGTAAGGGAGAAAGGCCATGTTAACTAAGTTAGACTGAGATATCTATGAAATACTATGAAAACATGACTATTTTCAGAAACTCATCACAGCTAAGCACTGGCTCATGCGCACACCACACAGTGCCACCCTCCACACCATCGTGATGTCTACCGTTTCAGAGCAAGCTCGGCCTCTCCATGACTCGCATCGCTGCCAGCGTCATGAACTGCCTGGTAATGTTTGAAGAGCTCATCAGCAGATCCAAGAGATTTCATACACTGGGGACATATGAAGCCCTACAGAAAGAGAAGAGAAAAGGTTTCAAGATATGACTTAATGTTGCAAAGTAACACTTCGCGTAACATGAAACAGCCAGCTGCCTTATTCACACCAATGGTGCCCCTGAGTGCCTTCCAATCCGTGGAGGCAAGCCCCAATTCTAGTCACTGTGGAAAGCGCCGCACCGTCTATTCTGGCTGAAGTTTGCAAAATGCAGATAAAACTCTTGCAACTATTTTTTAGCTTGAATAGCTAAATAGGTAGAATACCGAACACTAAATTGGTTACTTCTAGTCTATCAGTTAATTGACAAGATCGCTCTTCATAATCTTCTCTCTAGATATCTCCATTAGTAAAATTATATCTTCTCCAACCTATTTCATAGAATGCTACTAAAAAAAAATTAAGAAGACATAATCTGAACATTGAGGAAGAAAGAAATATACATCACTCTTTATTAGCATAGAGTTTAAATACCTGTAATGGTAAAGAAGTACACTTAGTAAATTTCCTTGTTAACCTTAGGTTAACATAGTAAAAGCCTAAAATTAATATTTACTCCCACATAACATAAAATCTTCTAATTTATCCCAGAGTTATTATTTTGTTAAAACTGTCAACTAGAATACTGTGTATATGAGAGAGTGATATAGGACCATGCTTTGCAAATCAGGGTTGCAACTCCGATTTTAGTGAACCACAAAAATAATGTTCGTGGCAATATTTTTAGTTATACAACAGAACATTTTAGAGTTTATCTTATGTATTAGCATAAATAATTGCCGGCAAGATAGCTCAGCAGACTAAGCACCTGCTTAGCCAAGTGCAGGGACCAGGGCTCAATCCCAGAACAGCATGTCATGCCAGCCCCGCCCTCAGGGACGCTGAGCTGTGCCAGAGTCTGGGTGTGGAGGCGCATGCCGATAATCCTAGCGCTGAGGAGGCTGAAAACAGGAGGATCACCAGGAGTCTGAGCTGCGTAGTGAGATCCTGTACCAAATACATGTTTAAAAAAAAAGTAGGATAAATACTACTGCATTAACTTTTGAGTGATGACCAAAAACATTTATTAATTGCTATCAATACACTTGAGAAGTGCTGAGACAGTTGCAAAATGTAGCAGAAAAGAATAACATTACTTTTACTGAACCTATAGTATGTGCCACGTACTTTCCTCAATCTCATTCAAATCAGCCCACTATTTATTTAAGTACTACCTCCATTTTATACAAAACAAAATTAAACTTCAGAAAAGTTAATTACTTTCCTAAGTTCACAAACATCACTAAACCACAACACACACAGGTTTGCTGGATAAAGCATCAATCTTTCCAGAATGCTACACTGTTCCTTGAATTCTTTGGCTTAACCTTTAAAAATGACATCCTTAATATAAATCTTTTTATCTGATAACTTTTTAGTGCTATTAGTTCAACAAATGCCATTTCAAGTATAAAAACAATTATGTGAAAAATATATGACAGTCTCAGCCTTCAAAGAACTCAGAAAACAATATATACATATAAAAATATTCAGTCTTTGTGAAACTGAATGAGAGATTAACCCCCTAGCACTAAAGTTTACGTCGCATGGGTGTCTGAGTGCAAACTATATTAGCAAGTGAAAGACTAAAATAATCATATCTCTAATTTTTGGTCCACTTCTTTATCCTTCAAGTAATGGCACTCAAAATATTACATATTATTCCTGTATAATTTACCTAATACATAATGCAAATGTTTCCCTAAATTTATCACTAAATTATTTGTACTCAAAACTTTTATGGATAATAAGTAGTTCACCACATTTAGAATACACACACATTCCACAGGAAAAGGGCTTTGGAGGGGGCTTATTCCAAAATTCATTTTAAAAAATATTACCAAAAAAGAATTAAGATATACTACATATAGATAATAAATTCCCTATGATGAATGTAATCAATATGTATGATAAACATGTGCCAATTTTAAACAGTGAAGTTAAAAAAATAAAAAAGCTGGGTGTGGTGATGGACACCTGTAGTCGCAGCATTCGGATCCTCCTGCCTCAGTAGATCACTGTGAGTTCCAGGCCATCCTAGGCTAGAAAGTAGGTTCAAGACCAGCCTGAAATGCATTGTGAGACCCTGTCTCAAAAAGATTAAAATAAAATAGTAAAAACCAAATATTGCCAGATGTCAATTTTGAGAACATCTCCAGCCCTTTCTGGCCTGTCTTTCACGCTAACCCATAAATAAAAATATGCCTACACAATCTATTCTGCAGGAGTACATGTTATGCTAAAGAATATTCAAATCCATTCATCATATCAATAAAAACAAAGAGCCAGCCAGATAGCTCAGTGGATGAAAGTGCCTGCTTAGGCAGACGCAGCTGCCAGGATTCGATCCCAGGCCTGCTGTGCTGGCCCCGCCCCTGGGGCACACTGAGACAGCGACCGAGGCTGGTGTGGTGGCGCCCACTCATAAATCCCAGGGCTTGGGAGGCTGAAAAACAGGAGGATCACTACGAGTCCAATCTCTGTAGTGAGACCCTATACTAATACATTTACTAAATACATTTTTAAAAAATAGTGGAGCCTGTACTAAATACATTTTAAAAAATAATAATAATGGATAGTGGGATGCAGCTCAGTGCAACTGTGCTTATCCAGCAGGTGCAAGGCCCTCGACTCAATCTCTAGTCCTGTACCCATCCAAAAGAAAAAGGGATTAGAAAAACTCTAATGCAGTTATTACAGACACAATTCTACTAATTCAAAGTAACAAGAAATAATTTGTACACCAAGTACATCACAATTCAATTGTAAAATGTTACAGATACAAAGATAAACTAGAATGTGAAGGTGGGTGCTTGAATGTATTTCTACAGTGAAAACAATAAGAACATAATTTTGAAGGCTCTATGGAAAGTTTTGTTTTATGGGAACATACAGCTTTTACATATACAAATGTTCATCTTCTCTTCATCCTATTAAAAAAATCCTCCAAAGATCACTTTCCCCATGATTCCTCACTGACCTCCTCTTTTAACTTAACATTCCCCCCATTATATAATAAAGCAAGTGCTCTCTTGCAATCCTTACATGCTGCTAACTGCCAACCCTGCGGAGCTAACAAACTCTCGCCAGGAGCCTTCTGCATCGGCACATCTCCACCTGCATCCACAAGCATTTTAAATACTACAGACTCAAGACTCAACTTGAGTCCAAACTTCCTTTCCCCTCCACTATCCATCTTTTACCCAAACTAGAAACCTAAAACTCATGCTGAACTACTCTCCTTTCTAACCTCAATTATTCCCCCCTTTTCATGCATTTATCTCCTTCCTCAGTGCAGCTGGCCTTGTTCAGACCTGGCTATCTCTTGCCCAGACTTCTGCAACAGCATTCCACATTGGGCACCTATGTGTCATCTCCTTCTTCTCTAATGAATTCTTTCACACAGCTCCATCAATGTATCATAGAGATTCCAGCAAAAGCACTCACCTACGCCCCGAGCAGTTGGATGCCTAGACAGTCCTAGTCACATGCTCTGACCATTCCACAGTACTGTTTCCCAAAACATACTACAGCATCTCACACGTCTGCACCTGTGCACATACTGCGTGTCCCACCAGCAGCACCCACATTCCCTGTCAAGCTCCTTCACTCTAACAACACTGCATTGGATCTTCTCATCACTATTCCCTAAGGTACTGCCTTCAGCACATAGCTGTGCATTTTCTTTAAAAAGATACAAATGAAACCAATACTGCAGAAGCTGGTGAAAAAGTAGATCTTTAACTGCTTAAGATCGTAAAACCTTCCAAGAACAAAATGAGTCAACCAATAAGTACATACACTGAGCCTCTACAAATAAAGGAAAATCTCTGCCCCTTCACTGGCTACTCACTAAGTGATTGGAATAATAACAGGTAAACAAACATTACCAGATGATGCTAGAATACAAGTAGATACAAAGAATATGTGGTGATGAGGTATTCAACTCTGCCTGTGGCAGAAGTTAATGTTTTACCAAATCACACACGTACACAGGTACATTTCATGTATGTGTCTCATCTCTCATGAGTGCTACTACACACTGTATGTAAATACGTGTATGTGCACTTTGGAATTAGGTACTGAACCATGAGCAGGAGTGCACCTGCCATTCTACACCAGGCATCTCGAGACTATAATCTCAACACTTGGGAGGCTGAGTGAGCTTAAGACCACCCTGAACTACATATAGAGAGACACTGTTTCAAAATAACTTTGGAAAAACACAAAGGTGGAGGAAGTGTCATGAAGCAACCGTGTCCCTTGGGGAAACAGAGGTCTTAGGTGTCCTGGGATCACAGGCAGAGTGAAAGGCAGGCGCCCACCAGGTGAAAGCAGTGGTCCCCTATTAGCTACTGAACTGAGCAAAAGCAGGGCTGTGGATGTGCTTTTGGGCCTGAGGACACTGCTGGCGACATCCGATCCCAAAGACCTGCGCTGCCCAGCGCCGTCCCCTGGATGAATGCATGCTCTGTCTCGTAGCTTAGTCTAGCTGGTGGTGCTCCTTCCTCAGAACCATCTGCTAGCTATCACCACGTGTCACCACAGCTCCCGTGATGCTCAACATGGCATTTTTGTCATCTCTGCCCAGTAAAGGTTGCACAACACTGGCTGACGTGACTGATGGAACAGCACGTGAGCATCTATATTTAACCCACCGTTTCTCTTCTGTGCCTCAACCCTGCTACTAACTAGAAAGTAAATGACAGTGTCCCTCAGAAAACCTACAGCCCTGTCATACTACTAATCATTACAACTTGCTTTTTGACTACTGTCTCTATTTCTGAGTTGTGGCAATAGATACTTAAAAAGCTAATGTTCAAAATGAGCTATGTCATGCCTTTTTAAACTGTCTAAATATTACCAGGTTAATACTTCAGAAAGAAGTGATCTATTCCTAAAGAGAAATTTCAAAAATCAGTAATATATATTTCATTAAAGAAATATTCCTTATACGTGAATTTTCCCTGTGGCT